CTACCACTACTACTATACCCACTACTACTACTACTACTACTACTACTACTACTACTACTGCTGCAACTGCTGCTGCTACTGCTACTAATGGCTACCACTACCACTACTACTACACCCACTACTACTACTACTACTACTACTACTCCTGCTTCTACAACTACAGCTACTAGTACTGCTAATGCCACTACTACCATAGTGCTACCACTACTACTAGTACTACCGCTGATATTGCTATTACTACTAATAATAATACTAAAGCTGCTGGTGCTACTGCTAGTACTACTACTGCTCAGGTTACGACTACTAATACTGCTACTACTACCTCTGCCACTACTAATGCTCTTCAAAACACTAATACTAATACTGCTACTGCTGCTGCTACTACCACTACTAATGTTGCTGCTACTACTACTGCTACTATTGTTGCTGCTGCTGCTCTTACTGCTGATGCTACTACTATTTCTGCTATTGGTGCTACTGCGGCCACTACAATTACCACTACAAATACCTCTACTACAACTAATGTTACCTTACAACTACTACTACTGCTTCTACTCTCATTGCAGTCCTTACTGTCACTGATACTACTACACATACGGCGACTGTTAATACATCCACTACATCTACGGCTACTATTACTGCTACATGTACAACAACTGCTGCCACTACCGCTGTCGCAACTGCTTAAAGTCTACCAGTATTACTGCGTCCACGTGATTGAATATTGTTTTACACCTCTTTTAGCAATATTACAGCAATATCACGGCGGGGGGACACCAGAGTGAGTGAATGAGTGAGTGAGAGTGAGTGAGTGAGTGAGGTTTTATGCCGCTTTTAGCAATAGTCAAGCAATATCACGAGCGAACGCTTTAACCACTAGGCGACCCGACCGCCCCGGGGACACCAGAAATGACTGCGTCATATATACTGTATATATGCTTATAACGAACTACGGTTATAACGAACTAAAATTGGCCGTCCCTTTGAGTTCGTGTTAACCGGAGTTTACAATCATTTCAGAAACTACGCCGAGGATGAAAGAATTAGGATCATTGTCACAAAACATTAAACAAATAATACCATTTCAATATCAACAACGACACAATGTCGTTAACACGCCTCTGAAACGATGCAATTTAATCAACGATCAAAGGCATCGATTGACAGGAATCGAAAGCAACGTACAATAACCAACACATGTCTGTACAAAGATATACAATTGATAAAAAGAAAACATCCGCCAACTTTAAAGCTGCAACAATCCACACACCATGATGGTTGTGTTTCACAATACATTAAACAAGAATAGAGAGAGCATTTCCATCACCAACAAATATCTGATAAACCCGTGATCGGTTTAACGTTCCCACAATTACACAGGGAAAGTGGTTTCGGAGACATAAAATATTTGCAAATCACTGCACGTTATCACTGCTGTGAGGATGGATGCGATTCAAGCGGCGTCGTTTGATTGCAATAAAGATCTGGTCACTTCTCGATGATGACCGTGGGTCATCGCCGGCAGGAACCACTGATTGTGACATTGTATTAAGAGACTGGCGTGTGATGGAACTGTATTGTGGGTGTGATTCACGTGCCATTACGCGGCCACTTCTGTTCGACTAGCCGTCAGAGGGCATGTAAGGGCTGCATTAGACAATCTGGCGAGAAGCCTCCTCCAACTGCCATAACATTTCTCAAAGCGTCAAACAATGATTTCAATTTCAAATAGAATTTATCAATGTCTGAGTGTTGGAAAGAGTCGGATTTGGTGATAACAATTATTTATTCTGTCGTTGTGTCATCGAAGATTAACCGTTACTTTACTACACCTTCCATTTATTTATTATTTGTTGTTGATATGCTACTGTTACTACTTATCGTCATCATCATCATCATCATCATCATTATAATAATTATTATCTTTAGTAGTAGTAGTAGTAGTAGTAGTAGTAGTAGTAGTAGTAGTAGTACCAATATTTTGTTTATAACATGTGTCGAAATCAATATACAAAATGTATAAATATGTTATTTGCGCCATGAACAGTATTGGCAGATATCAAGCGCAGCATAATTATTTTTCAAATCAACAACACAAGCATTTTTTGTCAGTGGATAACAAATTCTTATATACTCGTTATGGTGCGGGTACTCGCATAATTATAACGTTTGTAAAATTTTTACGCAAAGAAACTATCATCAACCCACCTCTGATTACAAACATCAACATCTAAAACATCTATAACATAAATAAACAATTCGTAAAAGTTCTTCAATTCTTCACATTGCATGTCGTACTTTGAACATGCATGTAGCGCATCGGTTTAAACAGGCTTTATAAATAATGCAAAGTCCACATTCTGTTTTTAAATATATAAAAGTATGGGATTCTAAAAACATTGACAATTGAATTAAAAAAAATATTAATCCAAAACAGAAGTAGCACTAACGTAATTTCAAATGAGTTAAACTGAAAAAAATGTCATAGTTAAAGATTCTGCTGTCCCACGGGAATACAATTTTGTATTAAAGGGATCGTGCGAGGAACAATAGATTTAGCGTCTTAATACGGGGACTTAGGGGCTTATACCGCACCGGTCGCTTCTTGTTTAGCCTGCAATCCAAGCCTTTCTCAAGGCGCTGATTCTCCCCAATTAGCATTCACTTGACAGCTTCATAGATTGCCTATAACCCTAGATTTGATCATGGGCAAGCGTTAAAATACCCCCTCCCCCCAGTGATCCCCCCTTACCCTCCCACTGACCCGTGAGCGGAGCTGAGACTTGGCAGCGATTGTGTCGTGTCGTCAGTATGTTTCTAAACTGTTTTGTATTGAGAATCTCAGCCCGCTCATTTATTTTTCATTACCGCAACAAAGACACCTATTTTCCTGATGGCCGTCACCAATTGATTCACCGATCTGAGTCAAAAGCTCAACGCGGGAGTAGATCAACACCGTGTTTTCATTCATTTGCTGCAATGAAAGGCGAGTTATGGGTTGTAATGCGCCTTTAGATAGGTTTCGCTCGCGGGGATTACGCCGAAAGCCGTGTCGTGCGAGTACGTAAAGAGAAGGTAACTACGTCCCGACCTCAACTCGCGGGTAACACTACAAACTCGCGTTAACGTCACGTTAACATCTCGTTGATGTCTAAAGAACGGCTTTGTCAACGAAGTCTGTCGCCTTTTGTGTGCTTACTACTCAGATCAAAGCCCTGAAGATAGATACAGGTAGATAATGGCCTATGACGGGTGTAAATATTGCAACAAAAAGACGGGCTGTCGCGATATCTTTAATGAGTGTACAGTCTCGCGAGACTTGCGGAGGGGGGACTTACTGGCGTTTCTCAGCGTGCTGTTAAGTATACAGAGCATCGCAAAGATGTTTCACGAATTCTCTTTGAATTTTTCTCTTTAAACAACATTCATTCGACAGATTTGCCCTGCTTTTCAGAACAAGTGTGCCTCGAGGGTATATTAAATGAAGCTAAACACGTAAACTCTGTATGGGTTTATTTGTCCTTGAGATTCCCGAGGACAATGCTGTTTTGTACGTTGATGTTCTATATGTGGCAAACTACATATTATTTCCTATTTTGTAACAATTTTGGGATGGGTTGTGTTTTACAAACTTGCATCCTGGTATCATTGTTGGTATGGGTTTGGATAATTTTTTAAACATACGTAGACATGGTTAAAAAACACACACGGCAAAACACTGATAGTTATAGCGTTAGTTCGTCACGTCAAAGACCCGTGTTCGATTACCCATATGAGTATAAAGTGTGAAGCCCATTTCTGGTGTCCCCCGTCGTGATGTTGTTGGAATATTGCTAAAAGTTAACTAACTTACACAATGTTCTGCCAATATTGCATCGTCGTCAATTTAAACTAACATTCAAAATGGGATTTTGAAATTTGAGATATTAGCACTTACAAATTGTTACTCGAACATATTAACCGGTAAAGAAACTAATATCAACACAATAAACATATATTTAAGATCGATAGAATAATGTTTCATTACCCGATTTTTGGAATTTGGTTTACTCTCAAGAAAGATTCACAGTTACATGTAACCGATATACAGACACATTAACATGAAATGTAACACGACAGGAATCAGCTTTGAACTAATATACCATTACGCGTTAAAAGTATAATTGAGCAATAAAAGATTGAAAAGCTACTAATGGATAAAAGAGAATGACTTCTTAAAACAGTTGTATTTTAAAACAGAAACAAGATAAAAAGGTTAATACTTAAGAAGTTAACATGCCAATATACCAAATAGAAGACTAAAAATAACTTATGGATAAAAGTGTATAACTTCATAAAACAGACATTATTTAACAGTAACAGGATTTAAAAGCTATTACTGAAGATGTTAAAAAGGCTGATTATATCGAGTAAACTCGCTGTTCAATAGCAGGTGTACCTCCACAAATGTAGTCCCCACTTTACATTCCCACACAAACATAGCGGTGTGAAAATACATGATTCACAGTGACAACAAATTATCTGCGAAAAGGACAATTATATCAACACCCCTACCCCTTTCCCGTGAACACCGACACTTAGTACTAATACCCTTCCAACACCCCAGTCGTAAGCGATCCGATTTGCACAAATGTTTCCAATAAGCAAAGTAATTGTTTTTGTTGTTGAATACCTCCAAGAACTACCAAACATATTATGAGATTGATATTTTGATTTAACGCATTAAGCATGACCGCGGGCTATTCGCGTCTGATTGACAGATCTTTATCAAGAAGGATTAACAAGACTTTCTGGACACTAATTACAGGCCAAAATAAACTTTCCCACCGCTCGTAGTAACCTGTCACTCAAATTTTTCACACCTCCCAACCAATGGTTACTCACGGCGTCTAGTTTTATGCGTCACCCAGTTGCCTCCCTTTGATTGCCACCTAAGCCTGTACCGTTCCGCCTATTCAAGAAGGCGTTAGTCTGTCGCCATGATAATTCAATTCTGGGTATTTCAGTGTTGGTGAGACGGTGATAGAATAAACTCACTTACAATCCCATTAAAGGAAATGGGTTTTGGCAAACTTGAACCCCACAAGCCCTTTTCTCCGCCAAATGGGGGATTTATTGTCCCTCGGTCCGTGGTTTGACTCCGCCCGCTCGTCCAATCAATTTAATACGGGAACCAATTAGAGCGACCGCATTGCACCCATATTGGGCTAATTTCAATAATTCCTCCCCTAGTGAAAAGAATCGGGAATGGCTATCGGTCCAAGCACCGGACAGTCAACATTGGCCGTTTTTTGATGTTGATACTGTCGGGATTTAAACAGCTACCTAAAAGCGAGCACGACGGAGTGTTTGACAGTAACTAGCCGGTTACACATGGAAGGATCCGGGCGCGTGACAAGCGCGCGAGAAGCAGACGACAATCTCAGCGGGGACGAAATTGGAGAAATATCACATAGACATTTACCTCTTCGGACGGAAAGACATTTTCTCCATCGGTCAATGGAACAGATGTCGGAATCTTTGAGCGACAGTTTTTCTACGTGTGACAGCGAGGAAGATGCGGAACTGTGTCTAAGTTTTGAGGACAGGCGAGGCAGGGTATCCCCTGATGGGGAACAGAACGATGACACGCCCAAACAGGTGACCCCCTTCTCCGTGGCTGACATCCTAGATCCCAACAAATTCCGCGGGGTCACGGGAAAGTCCAATGTTTCAACATCCAGCAGTGTCGACGGGGAGGGCAACACGCATTTGACAGGTTAGTAAACACAGAAGCCAAATAATAAACAAATGCTCTTTCTGTTTTCATTGTTTGCAGATAAATCTGCTTTGCATCTTGACAGGATCAGTGTAGAGATGAGTTTACCAAAATGTTAAATTTAAAACATAAATACTCCATTTTGAATACATTTTTAAATTAATCTTTTTTCCATTAATCTTGTTGAGTCATCATTCGTGATCATTTCGACAAATTGATGACGATTTGTAAACGGAATTGGAACTTGATTGGAAATAACACCATACCACTCACTATGTGATTAGATTTGAGTTGAGTTCGTTATTCTTTTTTGGGGATAAAATTTAAAATACTTAACTTCGCATTTGGTCGCCTCCAAATTATCACACGTATTGATCTGCGTGTTAGTATTTCCTCGTGTTAAATCAAATTAATTTTGTCATCTGACTTTCCACAAAAACGTCTTTAACGATGAACCATTCAAATAATGAAAATAATTATTTCTAGTGTTAGAAATTAGAAATATAGCGTTGAAACATTATTACACAATCTTGCTAATAAAAAACGACTCCATGTCAAATTAATCATATTTCACAGAAAATATTGATGTGTTTATACACATGTTTTGACAACGTTAATTTCAATATACAAATACAATTGTGTATTTGTCAGTTTCTTCACAAGAAGGGTGGACTTACAAGTTAGTTTATCCTTTGTCTTCAGTTTTAATATCAAGTTAATAGGAATTGTATGTAGAAATGAATATGGTTTAATGTATATGGTATATTCCTTTTATCAAACTTTCAAAATACCATGTCTATCAATGATAAGGTTCTAAATATGTTTATTTCACTTGAATATATATTCCTGTCTACAAACTGGGTATTGGCAAAGCCACTGATAATATAGCATACTTTATTTAATTAAATAAAAATATCGGGAATAAAATGGCATTTGTGTGATGTTAGACAACATATAGTCCATGAAATCTTATATTACACGATACACTTCTCTCTAAAATTAAACAATTAATTATCTTGATGCTGTGGAATATAGAGCTGGCTTGAGCTGGCTGGGCTTTTATACAAATCTAGATTGGTTTTGTTTTCATAAAATACATATATGCCACAGTCATGATTCAGGACTAGTATGTCGTCACATTGAAGTTTTATTAAGGATTTTGTTGAGTAGAATTGAAAAGGAATTTAATTATTATTCATTCACTCTTCTTTGTATTCTTATATGTCATAATATATCCCTTGTCAGTGAAAACAATATTATTATAACTATTATTATCAGCTCTTGGATAAACGGATATTTTGAATCGGAAACTTATGTTTATTAATCTCAAAAACCTTTTGTTAAATGTCACGAATTGTTTAATTGAAACCATGGAGATTTAATGATTACATGTATTTATCAATTAATCATCTAATGTAAACGTGTGCACGTGTCTTCTGAAGCGATCTTTCACCTACATAAAACGCAAATTAAGAACCTATCATAGATTCAGACATTAGAAACGCTTTTTAAAAATATTTGAATTGTAACAGTAACTCTAATAATTGTAACATATAAAACATAAACATTATTAGATTCATATTTGATAATCAGACCTATACAACACACTGATGCTCACTATAAAAATACTCACTGTCGACAATGACGAGCGAAAAAAATTTGAAAATGGTGATTGTGTAATTATCGCAGCTTTTTTCTTACAATTATGAATCGGATAATGTTATGTGCTGTATGTAATGACGCTAGTAACGTTAAATGTCGTTGCTGACATCGTGGGGACACAACCCCCAAATCTACATAGGTCAACTGAGACGTTGAAAATGTACATGCACCTTTTAAACCAGGCCGTAAAAGCTTAATAAGTGGTTAAGTGCAGTCTGTCGTCCTCGACATTTAGGCGATTGCTTCCCAATTGATGTTATACGTTTAATAAAAGCATTACGACAACCAAATGCCCAGATTGGGTTCGGCAATGATGAAATAAGCGCATCCGCCTTTTGCACGGCCGACATCGTGAGTGTTCGTTTCATGTCATTTAAGTGTTAATTTCTCAAAGAGGCTAAAGGCCTGTGTTGCTTGTGGTCTTTGAACTTGTGATTTTCTAGATGCAGTTTAATCATCAGACTAACTTGATTTGTTTCCAACGCGAGTAGCAAATTAAATAATTGAGGGAATTGTGCGAATGTTGATAAGCAAACAATAGCGGGGGTGATATCACTTGACATTTTGCTCGCCTTTCTTGCCAATTAGATGACTGCCGACCCGTGTGCGTTGAGGTCCCTCGCTGAACGTGTTGGAAAAGAAAAAAAATATACACGTAAAAAATAAACGAATTTTTAAAATTCAATTTATTAATATGATCCTAAATATGACAAAGCATATTACCTTCATTCTCTGTGGTAGGATTTAGAAGATCATACTAATTTAACAACCGGTTTTTGTGAATTGTGTTTTTTAAGTAGGTGACGTTTTTTTATGTATGAGTGAGTAAACGTTGTTTTCCGACGCATGAACGATTGTGTAGTAAAATATAATATGTAGAATCAAGTTATTTCTTTCAGGTCGAAGTGATCGAGTGCTTGACATTGATATTCTCAACAATGTGAGATTGCATCCACTTGAGATTCTCGACTGTCTTGCACAATCCTTATGGTTGAATGGGCTCAAGACAAACGACCACGCGTGGATCAAAATGTGAAACCTTGGCAAATAACGTATTAATGCAGCATAAACAAATATGAGGAAATATGAAGATATTGTTTCATTATCTGCGGATTAATTTCATATTGATCTTAAAACCCAAAGACTCAATCATGTCTAGCTTTCAGTCAAGATAAATGCAATTTTAATGGGGATTTTTTAAAACTACAGCCTATCACGTTCAGTGCTGATATTCGTTCCTAGTACTGATTCGTGTTAAGTTATTCTGCATATGCAATTACTGTTTTACAAATTAGAGGTGATATTAGAGCGGTTTTAACTTATTAATTGGAAATATGAACGTTTCAGAACAATAATTACGATATTGATGTTAATGATCATAATAATAAAACAGTCGATGACAATAATAACAACAAAAACAATAATAACAGTAATGATAATGACGACTACAACGACGACGGTGATGATGATGATAGTAATGTTAATAAAAGAATCCTCGTAAGTTGCACCCCATACTGTTTGTTTCCGCCAACAACCCCTTTATCCCACCCCGATATGTCAGTCAGCCTCGTACAGAAATTTCGCCCGGAGCCTGAGCGAGAGGAGATATGTTTTATGGAAGTGTCAGGCCCTGAGAGAGGCCTGGTTTACGGGCCTACCTTTGTGCGTCTTATCACGCATGATCGGAAGCTAGTGTTAATGTAATTGTAGGGCTATTACAGAAATGAGCTTTGCAAGCGGGACATCGCTAGTTGATATGTCGCTGTATATTTCCGTCCGCGATCATTCCCAGCGCCACGACCTGAGATGCCCCCCGCTCCACACAAAGACACGCATTTCGAGAGCCATTCGACTATCCCTTATCCTAATAGGAGCAAATTGTTCAGCAAAAGCTTTTAATAACATGAAAAGGAAAAAGGCTGTTTTCACAAAGAAATCAAAAGAGGAAAGCCATAATGCATAATTTTAATCTTTACTTAAGTTAATATTCGGGTTTTACGGGTAGCCGCGGGTGTATCTGGGAGATTGGGGTTTCAGTACGTTGTGTGAGTTGAATTTTGCGACACTCACCTAGCTGTTAGTAACAGGCAATAGATGATTATCCTGATAAAATCACGCATGTGATTTAAAAATCAAACGAATATAGAACACATCAAATATCAATAATTTCTTTGATGTACATAGGGTAATCAAAGTAAATGCTTTTTGTAAAATTGTTTTTTGTAAAATTGGCATAAGCTTGGCAATGCATGCTCTATTGATAGAACAAGCATGCACACATTACGAAATAAATTACAGACGCATAATGCATTTCTCATGTTTTAAGTGGAGTTATATCTGAAATAAAAAAAGCAATTAGATTTGAAAAGTCATTTACCGGATAAAGTTGTATTTTAATCGATAGATGTAAAATTGTTAATTTGGTCCCATATCTAATTTTGTAATAATCATAATCATAACCGTTCTTCAAATACATGTGATCACGAGGTTACAACTGGATTTTTTGGGTTATTTCCAATTAAACGATACTATTAAAACATTCTTCATCAACACACATCATATTAACAAATCATTATAATACCGTATTTCAATGAAAAAAAAGTAAATCATGAAAATGTTGTAATGAAATTATAGACATTAATAAATAGGCATCAAATCCTTAAAAAAGTCCAATAAGAAAAGAAAGGACTTCGTTAAAAATTGTATTCCAACTATGTATAGTGCATATTCTTTGTGTGATGAACTAACGCTGTCAGTCAATGACCCGGGATGTGATGTTTCGACATCCCCCCCCCCAACCCAATCCCAACATGATGATGTACTTCAAAGCCTCTCAACACGTGGTGTCACAGGTAGACCAACAGTCGCTGAAGCATCGGCTCTCAAACATATGGTTAAAGGCGTATTTCATTACTTTCAGTTGTGTACTTTAAAGTGATGACTTTTGAATATGGATATATTTTTTTGCTCTACATTGTTTGTTGCCCCGAGTCTATTTGGATTCTGGTTCGGCTTCAGGTTAGAAACATTAATCGATCATTACGATATTTGCTAACTCGTTTGTTTAAAACTGAGATGATGTTATGAATAGTCTTTGAAATATTTTTATGTTTCAATACTGGAGAACAAAATAAAATAGATTGACATGATTTAATGTGAGAGAGGAGTTTCGAATGGAGAAAGTGAAGGAGAAGAGTAATATCAATTCAGAATAACATAATCGTTACCGCATATATGTATCATTTAGAGATAATTTTAGATTTTGATACAAATATAATCGAATGATAGAATTTGCTTAAAAATATCGTCGCAATGTGGCTGAAATATTGCCGATACTGCGTTTAATATTACGTCACTCACTATAAAACGTCCATATATGTAATAAACATTAATCTAATGATAACAATGAATACCGTTCCGGTAACAAGCTCCAAATGATGGTAAATGGAACAGCTGACATGAACAATTACGTCATTGTTGAGATAAATCTCGAAACAGTAAACAATAGTCCCCCCCCACCCCCCCACCACACACACACACACACACACACACACACACACACACACACACACACACACACACCACCCCCAACACGATATTTCATTTTCTCGTATTCAGTGACACAGTCCAAACGAAAGTATAATCACATTTCTTATTATAAGCGAGGCAAAACAGGTTAAGATATATCGTAACACTTTCGAAACAAAGCATTTGATATTTGATCAATAAGCGACGTACGTGAATTTTCGTTTATGTCATTGTGCGAGAACACAATTGTTATGAGCAATCTCTGGACAGCTGATAGTGTTTTATAGATCGATACTCCGCCTAGTCTAGCACAGTCAGCTACAATGTGCTTGGTCTCTCAATGACAGGGGGGATTCGATTGGTTTAACGGTTCCCGACCAAGTCGCCAACATATTTATCCCTTTGTCTGGGAATTTCATCAAAGAAATGATAACTTTGATGTCAAGGAAATCGATATGTGGAACACCAAAAAATCCACGCTGTAATAGCAGGCATGTCTGCCAATAGGTTTGCATATTTTTAACACGATCTGTTTGGCTAATCGGGCGTGCCATCCACATAATTACAATTTAATTTGATCTTACTGAAATTGACAGTATTATTTCAGTAAAATTATGTTTGGGTCAAATAAGTTCAGTATTAACAAAAACTTAATCCAGCAAATAGCGCTTCTTTATACAATTCTTTAGAATTTATTGTAAGGATAAAGAATAATATAGTTTTGGCATTGATTCTAGCGTTGGGTTTAGGCATTGGGTTGTGAAAAAGTAATTGTTTCTTTCCTTTACTGCGACGCTTTGTGGATATTGTATGTGTCTCAAATAGGCATGCTCGTTTTAAAAGATGACTCATGTTTGAAAGTGTTTGTTTGTACAAATATATACCTGGTTGCTTTAGACAGAAAGTGACCCGAGTTAGTGGTGGTGGGGTGTGTGGATTTAGGGGTGGGATTTAGGAGTACAAAACACCTTCAACATTTACACAACTGCTGCAAAGTTTCTTAATCTCTCTACAAAGTCAAAAGAAACTAATTAGAAAAGAATGAAGCGTTACTTTTTAAATTTTGTAGCCATAAATTAAATTAAAGAAACTCTTATTTATTGACAATTACAAAATGTGTGTGTTATCCTATTTTCCGCGATTTGATTAGCTGACATGGAAACAAAATTTAATGTTATTTTTCGGTTAGTGCGGAAAACGCTTGCGATCCGGAACTGACCTCTCAAAAGGGATTCCCCGTGACCCTGCAACATTTGAAACAATGTCTAAAAATAGTATCGGAAACCCCATGTATCGGACTGCCAAAAAGGCGAGGGCCCCTGTTATGATCTATCAATAAATCAATTAAACAAACTGTTTAATAGAGAATAATGTTTTACAGCGAGAGCTTATAATACCATACAGTGCGATTTTGTTGCAGTCAAAATGATGCTATACGATTTTATACCATTTGTGACTGTTATCCTTCGATAAATGCAAAAAAAGGAAAACAACACTTGAGTAGGACTGTGTGTTAATGTTAAAATACTTCAAATTCGTTCATTTCGATGACCCAAGCAAAGGCAGGTGGAAAATGAAAGAAACCCAATTCACCGCGAGGCTAACTTCGCATCCCCTTTCTGACGGATATATGTCATACAGGTGTGGGGCTACCGATACCTGTACAACACTCCACCCTTGTACCATGTGGTGACATTAATAACTGGGATCACCTGAATAATTTTTTAAATTCAAAATGTATATTTTATGACAAGCATCTGTCTGTTCATTCTACAGTATTGCACTGTTTCTTGAATATTAGTTGCTATACTAAATATTATACATGAATCCAAATACTCACCAATAAGAGTAGAATTGCGATTGAACGATTAATGCTGTGATGTATGTATTGCACTTGTATTAAACAAATACTGTATTGTACAAAAGTGATTTCACTCCCTGTTTCATTCTCACAGATGATGAAGACATCACTGGTGACGTCAGCGACATGGATCGTGATGATTGTGAGGACAGCCCCGAAAAACGTCAACGAATGGATGAAAATGGCAACCACGGTCAAGGTAGCCTTGGAGGGTCAAAGGTCGGCAAACCTCGAAGGGCAAGGACGGCTTTCACATACGAACAATTAGTTGCCCTTGAGAACAAGTTTAAGACGACGCGATACCTGTCTGTGTGCGAGAGACTAAACCTGGCTCTGTCATTATCGCTGACAGAGACTCAAGTGAAAATCTGGTTTCAGAATAGACGGACAAAGTGGAAAAAACAGAACCCTGGTCTAGATGTAAACAGCCCCACAGTCCCTACATCTCCAACCATTCCACTCGGCCAGGCGTATCCGCTCGCCTACGGCGCCCAAAGTATTTACCCTGGACATTTGCAATCTTTCCATTCAGCTGCCAGCCTCGTTCCTGGATTTTACCTGTCCCATAATTCCCCATTCCAAGGTGCACATCCGGCTTTGAACCATTGGTGACAAAGAAATCACTCCACTGGATTCAACCGATGTTAATTGTGAATGATCACGTGACAGCGTTTTATCCCAGCGTGGTGAAACCAAGACAATTCTTCATCTCGGGTGAAACGTCGTTTCACCAGAAATGTCTTACCTCAGATGTGGAAAATACGAGCATTTGAAGCTGTTATATTATGGTAGGACAAGTGAAATATGTCAAGTCTCGACACTCCCGGTATCATGGTCACGTGATGTCAAGTCTCGCCAAGATGGGGTCTGTCAAAAATATTCCATGACCAATGACATACATATGTATAAATGAATCACGTCATTAATGTGCATTGTGACGTCATAGTTGATATTATGTTTTGCTTTGTATTTAATGAAATGTCTTCCGTTGACCATAACTACGCCTACTATTAAGCACTGGGTTGATATCGCGGATGAAATGGCGGCTGAGGGGCGACATTTTTCATTTTCAGGATTGTGTAGACAAATTCGCAAATCTAAGTATTCGATGTACAACGAAACCAACGTTTGTCGTTCAGTCAAGCATTTTGTCACGTTATTGTACATGTCTAATATATAACATAATATTATTTAACAAAGGTGCTTTTTGTGTTTGTATTATTTCTCTGGTGTTCATAATGCGAAATATATTGTAGATATTAAAATACGTTCTGAACATATATCTTCTCGTATCTTTTTAAAGCATTTCCTTTGCATGTGTTTGTGACGGGTGCCACCGGTGCGGCAGGATACGCTAACCTTTTCGCGAACACCTGGTAACGTCACTATTTGATAGTGATTCAGAAACACATGCTCATGATACAGTCGGAATCGTACAATAGGGTCTTTTAGCAGAGATTTGTTGTGGCTATGGTAAGGGTTTTGTCGCCTTTATTTAAAAAAAATCAAAAATGCTTTCGGCTGCTTTGTATGTTTCAAATGTTACAATTGCATATCGTGCGGAATTAACACTGTTAAGCTCAATAAGCTAAAATGGCTTTCGTTTGAATTGTTTACATTTTATTTTTATTTAGTTTCTCTTGGTGTAGTAATTAGTTATTAATTACGCATGACGTGTTATCTTACGCATGGTTACATTTGAGATGAAAGTATTTACTCTGTCATAAATCAAATTTTGATTCACATGCAACTGTCTGGCGAAACGACACCCTGGTGGCCTTTGCAACGATTAAATCGATTTTAACTTTTGCCGTATTGATCGAAACATCCCTGAAATTATTTCTTTTGATTAACTGGTAAATTCCGTTAATCCGGAATACATATTGAACTGACTCCTTATATCAAAATGTATCTGCTATTGGGACGACATAGTTAAACATAGAGCTGCTGGCGAGACTTCATCCGTAGTTTATAAAATAGGTTGGATTGAAGATGGAGGTTCAAGAAAACACGGACGATAACATTCATGTACGCAAGAAAATAAAATAAAAAAACAAACAAAATATATTGTGGGTTAAATCGATATGTCTCACTCTGCACTGCGTGTTGGCTCTGCTCGGAAGAAGGATACATAACTTACAGCTCAAATACAATTTAATAAATATAACACAACTCTTTCCATAATAATAAGACACCTCTGCTAAAGGCAGAATCCTTTGTATGATTCCGACTGCATCATAAACATGTATTTATCACTATCAAATAGTGTTCACACCCGGTGTTCACGTAAAGGTGCTTTTAGTTGGGAATCCTAATACAATCCGAGTAAAGTAAATTATTCGCTACAAGGTGGGCTTTTGCATCTTATTCATCTGATGCAGCTGATGCAGCTGATGCAATAAATTACCAGTATACCGCAATGGTTTTGTCTTACACATTAAACTGAGACCGCCAAAAAGAATGTTTTAAAAACATTGTCCTCATTATGTGAATCATGGTTTTTCTTCCTGTATAAACATTTCGTAAAAGTTAACAGTATAATTATGTGAGTTACGTTTCATCCCGATTACGGGAACTACTTCAGGATAATTGCATGTCAAAAGGCGGTATTTGGATTGTACAACTTGTACAAATTAGGAGTGAGTGAATGAGTGAGTTGGGTTTAACGCCGCTTTTAACAGCATTCCAGGTATATTGCGGCGTGTCAGCTTAATGTGGGAGGAAAGCCTGAAGTAATGCAGGTCTTAGACGTTTACCACTCCGGTGAAACCCACGAGCACGGGTATGGTGCTGACACACCTAGAAACATAATCGCGGCGTACAAATTAGGAAAATCAAGAATGTGACGATTGAACGTTCCGACATGATCAACGACCGAGAATGCACGATCACGTGAATTATAATTAGGGCATAAAATGTGTTTATTAAGAGTAAAATGATTAACATATACCTGAACATCAATATGAAAAATAAGATGTCGACATTCTATTCTTCATTATACCTTGGTCCAATCTCTGCACTGACTGATGGGGATTTACATTGTACGCCGCAGTAGGTAGAATAAAGGCAGCCTATGTAAATACACTGCCGGGCAAAGGAAAGTATACACTTGAACATTGTTACTGACAAAGAAATTACAAAAGTTATCAAAACGTTACGTGGCTGAAAACAGCCCCCGAAACATTGCAAACTTAAGGTCCAAAAACACAACAATGAGACCTGTATCAAATACATCACCATCAATCAACCTTTTTTTGTTGGTTTCATTTTTAGCCAACATCAAACGTGGGTGTATACTTTCTTTTCCCCGGCAGGTAAGGTCTGGGAGCTAGTGGTTGATAACGTGAGCACCGAACAGCATTCACACGTCTTAGTAGAGTATATATGATGGATTATCAAAATTTCATCCTGGGCAGTTATTGTGGCCATACGACTCACACTCTTACAGTGTTTTTACTCGCATGAAGGGAGCCATTCTGCCCCTGACACCCCACGTGTCTCCGAGACTTCACCTCACCTACTGCAAATGTCTTTCAGAGAATTTACTGAATTTTCGTTCAGAACGGTGCGACTGCCAACCAATCACTTTTAAACAAAAATCCATTTCATAACCATAAGAAATCTCTGATGAAAGCAGTACATTGTACGAATCCGACTTTATCACGAACCGGTGTTTATGAAACACTATCAAATAGTGATGACGCCAAGTCAGCCGTGATTCTCTTTAGGTCATATGTGATGTGTTACTAATACAACGCCCATTACCTACGTCTTGTGAATTTCACAACGAATTCAGCAAAGTGTTTCATGAAAAGCTACTCTTAAATAAATTTAAAAGCTACTCCAGAACATCATCTTTTTTTGGTCATCGCGGCCGTCCTCTTTTTCCAGACGCCTTGTGTTTAAAATGTTCGCTCGTCACGCCGAAGACCAGGTTCGATTACCCATATGAGTGAAACGTGTGAAGCAATTTGTTTGTGTCCCCCACCGTAATATTGCTGGATTATTGTTAAAAATGGGGGAAAAGAAATCACTCTTTTATTTTCCCCATAAACCGGTAGTGAGTTTATGATCAGGAACATATTACTACATTAAGCTACTTAATGATCTACCTTGCCTAAAAGGGCTTGCAAGAAACGAGCCTATTTCAGCAAAGCCACAGAGTGCCACAAATCAATAATATCTAATCATTTATTGGTCATCAGTTGACGGGATATCAGCTTCGGCCATGAACAAATATCCAAATATTTCAAATTTCGAAATATAATTTTTTGTCAATTTTTTTGGCAACCGTTTTCTTCAAATACGAGAGAATGATAGTTGTTTAACATCACAGTGAATAATAGTCCATTTGCATCACGGAGACGTGTAAAAAGTCACGTGGACCAGACAAACTAGAGACTGAAAGCAGAAGCAACTATTCACACAACCAGAACACAGTGACATGCATTCAAACCAAGGCACTGAGTCTGACACCGATCCAATTCAGCCGCCTCTTACGACAGGCAACATATCGAGGGATTTGAAATCACAAATGAGGTTATGTTACATTTGTGCTAGAACGATGGCTATTAGTAGTAAAAAGACTTGGGACATTATTAAAAGATGCATGCCAACGTTAAAGGCGGATTCCAATGCAGCCAAGACACCAAGCGTGTTTAGCAGACAGAGAATGTCATTGGGTAATACCCTACATACTATGCTGTGCGGAAGAATGCCGCGAATACGGCATTACAACTTGGGTATCTGTGAATGAGTGAGTGAGTTCGGTTTAACGCCGCTTTTAACAGTATTCCAGTTATATCGCGGCGTATCAGCTTAATGTGGGAGGAAAGCCCGAAGTGATGCAGGTTTCAGACGTTTACCACTTCGGTGAAACCCACGAGCACGGGTATGGTGCTGACAAACCTAGAAACATAATCGGGACGAACCGGGATTCGAAACCACAATCATAGGTTTCTGGCGTGCCCAAGAGAGGGAATCTGTGATAGAGGCTTAATTACTATGATGTTGCAAAGAACGTCGTACGGCTGTTGCTCAGGAGTTGTTTGATCAGGGTTACAGCATTCAAGACCTCAGTAAAGCTTTCAAAAAGTGTAATGGTAGACATTCTGAGGACATTTCCAAAGTTTGAAGTGTTAGTGACAACAAGTATGTCATTTCATTTTGACTTGTACCATTATGTTCCCTTGTCTTTTTCAGGTGATCACTTGATAATTAATATCTGATATGCATATCGAAGCACCCTTCACCCGGACGGCACCGTTCCAAGTCTTTTGAGTACAAGGTTATGTTTTATATGTCGACCTTCCAAAACTTGGAGGTTTGTCAGCACCATCCCCGTGCTCGTAGGTTTCAGCGAAGTGGTAAACGTCTGAGACCTGCGTCACTTCGGACTTTCCTCCCACATTAAGCTAACACGCTGCGATATAACTGTAATACTGTTAAAAGCGGCGTTAAACCCAACTCACTCACCCACTCCAAAACTTGGTTTGAGTCATATGTTCATGAGCATTCATTTTTATCAGTTCGTACCAATCCGTTGTGGTGCCATGTCTTATATACTTAACCATATTACATATGCCATGATCATAGTGACAATATTTCACGACCAGTTGTAATCAATATACTATTCCCCTGCGTGCCGAGGATGATTGAAAAGCTCACAAATAAATCTTTCAAAGGCGTGCTAAACACACATAATCTTTATACATTATGGTATTTTTCAGTAATGTTTTACTTTCTAAAAATTGGAATGATTCTCTGGAAGTGTCCTCGTTTTAATTATAGATCTGGCTCCACGGAGGCGAATATCCCCCCGACTTGTACCCAGTAATCAAATAAGGGTATTAAAATAATTAGTATGGCGAAATCAATTTCTCTGGTCGTAGTGGAAAGCGATACAAGTAATTTTATTTCCCGGTTAGTGAATAGCCACCTCACATTATCGTGTACGGGGAGGCAACGATTGTCCGCTTATTAATGCTTACAAGTTGATGTTTGGCGAGCACAAACAGGCTGCTGATTTCTGTCACTGTCGTCAACGCAGAACCATCAAAGCCGTTTGCAGGGGCCGTTTAGGCTACACTTAGCTGTAACGTTGGACGTTAATGGTGTTAGGCTTGTCGTGTGAGCAGTATAATTGCTGAGCGATGGTAAGGGCATTGCAAGAACCGCCATTAAGCGTGAGTTGTCTTTCGCGAGCAGGTGCACAAGAAAGGCCAAGGGCTTTGTGTGCCATGCGCATGCTGCTCCGTCCCAACTGGGTCTCCCACAAGGG